TTATATTCACTGGAAAATATGCTCCACCTTGATCTCCACATAAATTATCAAGATATATCAAAGTCTGAAAAGACGGCACAGAAACGTATAAAACATACACTAAAGCAATTCATTAACAGTTGAAATCCCTATGAGGTTTTCTTAGATTGAACTTCGACACTACATCTGACTTCTTCTAATTCTTTTTGACAGAATTGCTTTTTCTAGGTTCGAATTCCTGAGCCTCAACCACCTAAGAACTTATTCGGCATGTCGCAATATTGCTCTTCCAGGGGATAACAGTGTTCTGTTACAGTGCACAATAAATTAATGCCTATTTGCTTGTGATATGCTGGAAATAAGAAGAATGATGATGTAAAGCAATTAAAGGAAGTAATAATCTTATTAAAGTCATGGAAATAGACGCACAGAGAACAACGTGTAATAGGTTATGGGACTATTAGAAATAAGAAAGTAGGCATGAATACTATTGCTGTTGTCTATATCAATATATCCAGACAAATCAGTAACACAAGTTTATTAGGTTTAAAGCAACAAATGTCAGAACATAAATTGCAACAACATGATTTTTTTTAAAAAAAGTTTAATAACTGAAGACAAATAGCAACAGGTTTGCATAAAATTGATCTTCGTTTTTTTCTAAGAACATTGATTACAATCAGAAAGAATAAAATAATTTTTATAAATGACTTTACGACATTGATGCCATGGTTTTCACATCATCAGTTATCACAGTCTGCACTTTGTCCGACATGTCCGTCCTTGGATAAAAGAGCTCCCGGTGAAACCTTTTTTACAGTAACATTTTGTTAATCTGACTTTCAATTACTGTCCTCGTTCAAACCACTTTCTTCAGAACTAAGATCATGCTTGGTGTGTTGTTTATCGGCAAAAGTACTCTCGTACTCATCAACTGTCTTTGGAACTAAGATGGGCTGGTCAGACATACGAATATTTCCAATGAACTGAGATGGTGTTGATGAGTCTCTTTCACCATCTTGGCCTTCCTTGAAGATATCCCGTGAGAGAGTTTCCTGGAACAGTGTGAATTGGTCTTCTCGGACACTAGCCTCCTTCCCTTGTGAGACATTTCTGTCTGCTGGTAATTACCTAGTCCCTGTCCACTGTTGGAATGAAAACTAGAGCCACTACTGTTGCTACTTTGTGTTGGTTTGATGCCCGAGACATCAACTTTGTTGTCATTCTCTTCTGTTGTTGATTTTTCAACCCCTTTCGCTGGTTTTTCTACAGCTATCTCATTAACTTGATCCTCCGACTCACAGATCTCTTTATCAGCATCTCAGTCACTTGATCCTCTGTCTGTACCCTTTATTGGAATGGATATGCCTCTGGAAGAAGCTGGTCCCCTCATTCTCACTGTCTGGCATTATTATTTGAAAACACCATACCATCTCAGCGCTAAGGTACCTATAATCTGGTCATAAATAAAATACCGAAATAACACTTGAGCTAAATTGGTAACAATTATGCTAATTTGGTAACAAATTATATCTTTTTCTTTTTAAGATTTCCTGTATAATTGAAGTAAATATAAACATAAGATAAATATATTAATTAAAAACACCATACCATCTCAGCGGTAAACTATTTATTGTCTGGCCATTTGATATATTATTGAAACAACTCTTTTGCTAAATTGGTAACAAATGATTTCTTTGAAGATTTCCTGAGGAATTAAAGCAAGCATAAACATAACATGAATAACTATATTAATTGAAAACAAAATACCATCTCAGTGCTAAATTACTTAGCATCGGGACATCAATAAAATACCGAAATAACTCTTTTACTAAATTGGTAACACTTATGCTGAATAGGTAACACATGATTTATTCTAAGATTTCCTTTATTCTGTCCTCGCACTTAAGTTTGCAATAATAATACTAAAATATTAGCACTCATTGAGTGCCTGTAAGCGATCGTCATGCTTACTACATAAAAGTCGTAAGTGTTGATACGTATCAGGTAGGATGTCGAGGATGAACGGAGGACTTTCTCAAAATAATTCTAGGATTCTGCCACAATTGGACTATTTATTTCATAAATTGTCATGATTTTTCTGTAGTCGACAAGTTTCGGATTAGAAATAGCTGCAGGAAGGTCCATCCTCAGGGATAGAGGTCCGTCATTAAATGTCAAAATATAAATTGCAAAATAATTAAAAGATAAAATGAGTTTAATAAATGAAGACAGATCACATATAGAACTTTTTATTGCTTACGATAACTTGAGCCTTTTTCAGCAAACCAAGACCAAACTTCACACAATACTTTTTTCACATTTTTTTACTTTATTTATTGAGCAGACCATTTTCTCTTTTTTCAAGTTTTCCATGCATAACTGATATATAAACGACGGTTCAGAAATAAAGGAGTTCTGTTTTTTCAAATGAGTGCTGTTGTGCATTTGTGTTAAAAATATGTGACATTTGTTTCCTAATCCGAAGACTTGAGGAAAATCAAAGATGCGTCGCATACCTATAAAAAATCGCCTGTGAGTTACGATTTTACATATATACATACATATTTACACGTGTATATGTGTAAGTTCTATACCTTATATTTCCATTTTAGTCCGGGTACCTACGTCAAGAGGGTTCGGAGGACAGCTTCATTACAGAAGATGTTGAGGGAAAAGAGGTTATTACATATAAACTTACTAATTCCATTGTTATCGCACGAATATCAAAATTTTAATGATCGCTTTCTGAAAATAAATAAAGTCAATTGTCGCAAAAATGGATACACCATTTCTATTAAAAAAGAAGTTTAAGAAATATTTTGTTAATAAATCATGGTTTGATAAGATGATAAAACTAGAAGGCGCGATGAAAGATCTTGCCCCTTGTGATAGTAGAACATGCATTTCACGTACTGACTCTGATGGTTAAACGTTTTAGCATGCAGCTGCATATACTGGTTCATTCGTTTTACAGGCTAATGCCATGGAAGGATGGAGGGACTCCGAGTTAATCCGTCATTTCAATGGATGGCTAAGGGGACCAGAAAGGTTGAAAAATGAAAAAGCTGCGGAACAGCATTGCTACCAAATTTACCAAGTCATCAAATACTTGGACCCTAAGCTACGGGTCTCCTCCTTCCTCCATTGGAAGGATCTGCGCAATTGGTTTATGGAGGCAATAAACAGGTACAAACCGGGGACTGTGTGTTCATATTTAACTTCCATTAGGGAGTTTATTAACTTTATAACTACCGAACTAGAACAGGAACCGGAAGATGAAAGAAAGATCTTTGAAGTCAGCCAAGCCATCAAAAGATGGAACTCGATCCTGGGAAAAAGTAAGAAGAAGCGGCGGGTGGAGGTCTCTGCAACAGGGGAACATAACAGCATATCTCCAATCGACATCAGCACATGCCTTCAGTCAGATGTCGCCAAAAGGGCAAGGCATTTATTGGAAACATTCAGTCAAGGAGACCAGCTTTCAAGGTCGGATTATTGCTTGGTTAGAAACTATCTTATTTTTGTTCTGATTGCTAGGAACGCTCAGCGGTCGGGAGCGGTGGCCAATCTTAGGATCAAGATGCTCAAGACGGCAGACAAAAGAGGAAGTGACTATATATTAACTGTGCCGGAACACAAAACCGGATACTCCGCGCCGGTGTACTTAGTCACCTCTACATCAACATTCCGAAGTCTCCATGTTTATCTTAGCATGCGACAGTCTTTGCCAGATTTTGAAGAAGATATAGCAGATCCAGATGAAGGATATGTTTTCATTTCATGGCCTTCCAGAACAGGTGTTCCGCCCATTCCCATGTCCGCTAGCCGGGTAAACCGGTCAATAAATGACTTCTGGAATGATGCGGGTTTATCATCAAATCTCTCTGCTACTAAACTTAGGAAGTCGACTGTGACAAATGTGAGGGATGCGGACCCGAATCTAAGAGAAAAACTATCTGCACACATGAGCCACTCAGCGCGAACGGCTGACACATATTATCTAACACACAGCAGATATGAGGACAGTGTGAATGTGTCACAAAAGATAGCTACCGTGATGCGGGTGGAACCACAGAATACAGGTGAATGTGAACTGTTTGCATAAGCATATCATACTACATATAAACATTTTCAAAGGATTATTTTGGCAAAGAAATGTAATTTTAAGACTGAGGTTAATTTTTAAGGTCTACAATGTCTGAATCTGAAAAGGTGTCGATGAGAGAAAATATATGCACTTTAATTACATTGTATTTCCTTTTATAGTTCCAGTTCCATTGGACGACCTTGACATTGGGGCAGAGGAGGTCGTTAGCCAGGAAGTTGAGGATGTCCCTGATGTCCCTGGGAAAAGTAAGGAAGTGGACAAGGAAGTGGAGGGTCTTCATATGCAGAATGATAACACCCCGAAGGGAGGCCGGAGGGCTTTCTCAAGGTCTCAACAAGATACTATTATTGAGACATTTCATGAATTTATATCAAATCCAGATAAAAAATTGAACCAAATGATCGTACAGCAGGTTCTGTCAAAAACAACAGAAGGGAAACGGCTTCTGAATATATTCACTCTAAAGCAACTGGTGGATAGGGTGCGTACTGCAAGGAGAGCGGTTGCGAAGAAGTAAAAAAAATAGTGCAAAAATTACAATTTTACTACGTTACAATTTTCATCATTTGATGTTCCGAGAAAACCCTTTATTTTACTCGATTGTGTAGTGTTTTTCTTAATTTCTTTTTTTTTTCTTTTTTTTTTTTTTTTTTTTTTTTTTTTTTTTTTTTTTTTTTTGGGTTTTTTTTTTATTATTTTTTTTTTTCCTAATTTGATGAAAAGTTACTAATTAATGAAAATACATAAAAAGAACGAGAATGTACACATTAATAAAGAACATATTGCACGTATGTATCAAAACCTTAATGAAAACGAAGAATGTATGAATTGGAAATATACATTTATTATATTAAGAAATAATGACAATGTATGTATGTATGAAAAAAATGAAAAAACAACAAAAGCAAGGTGAAACAACTGATATAGACAGTGTGCGAGCTACACGAAAATTGTACGAGAAAACCCTTTATTTTACATGATTGTGTAGGTTTTTTCATAACTTTCATAACACGTACGCATGAAAATGTGTAAGAATGTATGAGTCAAAAATATATATGCGATATTTTAAAAAAAATGTATCATAATGCATAGTTAAGAAAGGTTAATCAATCGGTGAACAAGTGCGAAGTCAAAAAACTGCGAAAAACTCTGTCCTTTACAGAAGTCTTGTTTAGCACGGAGATTGCTAAAATAAATGATATTAATAGAATAATTTTGTATGTTGTTGATTATTTTCTTTCGTTGAGTAATGATCTTTTTTAACATAAAGAGTTATACAAGAAACTGGGAATCCATTACATTTGGACGGAGGGATTGTCGATATTACAAAATAGTCCACATACTCGACTTTTTCTTAGATTATATATTAAGGTCGAAAAGGTGCAAGAGCATGGAAAATACAATTTGGAACTATAAAAAAAACAACAACAAAACAAATACCAACATTCCAAGTAATATCACGTTCCCAAATGAGAACAAGGTAACAGGTATAATTACAGGCACAGAACACATCTAATTTCAAATAGAAAATAGAATGATATCAACTTGTTGACCGTAAAACTAGAAAACATTCATCAGGACTTCGTTCAATATGATACAACATCGTCTTCTTCTCGAAAACTGAATTTCAACGTTTGCCAATTCTTAATATCCACACTATATCTTCTACATTATATCTTTCTAAATCGTTTTTGAGAAGTAATAAAGAGGACAGCCAAAACAAAGAACAATCATCTTCGAGAGGGAGACTAAGAGCAACCTTATGCGAAATTTATACAAGAAATTTGATAAGGTGAAAAAGTTTATCAGGCTCAATAATGTATTTTTTCCATGTTTTTAAGTGTTCCGTCAGCGTTGTGCAAAATCAAATATTTTTAAAGATAGCTATTTTGAAAAGCTGGTCGATAACAAAGAAGATTTGCTGCGAAATATTGTCGAATTTGAAGATAAGATACTCAAAATTGAGAAAGTTATTCAAAGGGCAATGAAAACGGTGAGGTTTGGACCCAAGGTTGCGTCCGTATTACAGACTCTGAAGCGTTTAACGATCCTACAAACGCAATAAAAACGCAAAAGGCTTTGAAAAAAAAGCAAACGCAAACGATTATCAATGCAAACGCGAAATGCTGAAAATCAAGTGATAAAATGTTTGTGAATGACTTCAGAAGAGATTTGTGCATACCATTAAAAAAAAATTAAAATTGTTTTTCTTGAGATAACTTTTAAAATCAGGATATAACTTCCACCGCAATAAAGTTACTAGGGAAAAAAGCGAAAGCGAAACAAGTGGCAAACTGTAGAACTGACTTAAACTTCAACTTAAATAGTCAGAATTGTACAAATTTTCCATATGTCATTCAATAAACACCATTGTTTATATTGGAAGCTTTCCTGAAGAATCCGATAATTTTTATGCGCTCTATTGCCCTTTCCACGTGGATTCTCAGTCGAGCTATGCGCCTTGTTGTGGTTTCCTGTTCAACGGACATCTGCTGAACACCTCTTAACACAGGTGGATGGTCAACTCTGACTCTGAGATTATCCAGCAACGGTTGGATTTCAAACCCCTTATCTGCCATCACATGATCTCCAGGTTCCAGCAAATTCAATAATCCACAATCTTTGGTAATATCAAAGTCACTTGCAGATCCAGCATACAAATCCGACACAAATGTCACTGGTCCGTGGGGAGCTATAGCTACTAGTGCTTTTGCCGTGTGGTGGTTTTTATATGAACTGAACAAAACAGTTTGCAAAACCAAATTTGATGAGGGTTGCTGCAGGAATATTTCTGTGCAATCCACGATACATCTAGTATTTCCATAGTTCAAGTCTTTGAAAGTTTGAGGCATGTTTTTGTTGATGGTTTCTTTTGGAGCCCATATATTCAATGTTGTGAGAACATGTCCCATGTGTTTTATCCATTTACTAAAAATCACACTGACACATGATTGTGAAATGTTGAATCTATGGGCTAGGTCTTGTTCTCTGTATCCCTGACGAAGGCAACACAAAACCAAAAATAGTTGCTCCTGGACACTTAAATTTGGGTCTCTTCCCCTGTTCCTGTTAACATATGTACTGTCTGTCTCTTTTTGCTGGTAATAAAATGAGTTAATCTTGTGCTTTTCTGGGAGTAGGAAATCACAAAGTGCCAAACATGTAAGGTAATCTGGCAAACCAGTGTAAAACTGTATGTCACATGGCGAGTATTTGAATCTCTCTACTCCGAAAATGGGCACTTTCTTGATTTCTTCCAACCTACTGGCAAGCTCTGAACGCTGTCTTCTTTCTTGGTCCAATAAGTCCTTTAAGTGTGGACAAAGCATCTTGTGGATTCTGGTTCTGTGAGTTTACATGTACACCATGTCTTTGTACCTGCAAGGATATAAAGCCATTTCATTGTAACATGGATGTAATACATGTACATTTACTGTTCAATTTTTTGATGCATGTATATGTATCTATGCAACAGCAAAACAATGATGCATCATAGGTCACCCATGCATCCTGGAATGAATTCATGTGTGCTTTAAATTCTTTGTATGTCGAATTTACTTAACAGTGCCGGTACACTGAGCATAAATTATAAAATCCCACATAAGTCACACAGTTACAACTTAGTTCAATGAATTTACACTTGAAGTTGAACTGCAGCTGCTGAATGTGCACATATTGAAAAACAATTTAAATGAAATGTCAAATCATGTACATTTTACATCTCTGAACATGAATGACAGGCTTTTTTACACCAAATTTGTCTGTAAAGCCATGATTTTTATTTTTTTTTTTTTTATACTCACTCCGTCTGGTTCACTCTTGGTTTTCTCATGAAGAATTTTCAATTTCTTGGACAAAGGTGGTGAACTGACATTTGGGTGTGATTCTGGGGACAGCAGTTCGTTGTAAATGTCTCTAACAGCTGGTGACATATCATTAACTTCTTTCTTTTTTCTATCTTCCATCTCTCTCACCTGGAATAAAAATGAGACAAAAATTAGAAATCGTTTCCTACTTACATGTACATACACTGATAAAACAGCAAGGTATTCATCAGCATATTGTAAACATTCTGAATATAAACACCTCCATGGGGCCAAGGCTTAATATTTTTCAGCTTTTGTTTTTTTTACACATAACATAGTAATTATTTACAGTACTTGCTGCATTACCTAGAGCATATTGATATACCGTAAATATTCGTGTATAGTGCACACTTTTTTAAGCTGAAACTGTCGTGTCAAAAAGGGGGTGCGCACTATACGCAGGTACATGCCATTCCTGGGGTTATCATTCCCGAGTTCTGCATCCGCCATATTGGATTACCTCCCTTCACATAGTTATATGTAAAAGTCGTCGGTCTTATATGATAGTTTGGAGATAAAAACAACAAAAAAATAAAATAAAATAAATTTCGAATGTTTTAATCATCTGCCATTCACGCTAGCATTACGGTGAATCTAATTTTTTTCGTTTCCCGTCGGTCTTACTATTGGTCGGGGCTATAGTAGTGTCTGAATTTCTGCCTCATTTTGATGATGTATCTGTGGAATTCAATGAATCCGGAAGTTTTTAGGCGATTGTCGTTATGTTCATAAATCAGACAGCCCATCCCACCGATGCCCAAAGTTGGTGACCCCATGACCTCTTGATCTGCATGGCCCGCACGCGCAGTTCTGTTGTACTGGCAGCGATGCCGGGATATCGGCGATCGCATACAAAGTTGAACAGCTCTCTCTCTCCATCTCTGGGTGTTTCGCTGTCGAACCTATGTTAGCCCTTCTGGTCAGTGGTTGGGACTTTAGACTGTCTTTTCTTTCTTCCGTGCCTTGATATTTCACTCTGGAATGTCGAAGTGGCGACCGGCGGCACGAAACTCCAGTCTCTCGGCGTAGTCAAATGGCGTTCGCAGTTTCCCCATGTCGAAGTCAGTGTAAACAATCTATCATTAAATACCTTCGGATACCGCGGTGGGCACAGATACCATGAAAGATCATGCCTATACTGAACAAACCACCTGGTAGGATTGAAAATGTTCAGACAGTTAAAACAACATCGTTTTCTGACCAATAGCACGCGTTCAGCCCAAGCCGGGTGTCATCAGTCTCCTCATACTCAACGTGTTAACTGCCATTAACCGTTAATTATACAATCAGCCAAGCCTTTCATGCTTGTTAGGTCACCTGGGTAAATTTGTTTACTTAAGGTAATTACATGTGTTAGGGTCACGCTCATTGTGGTTTCCTAATTATCAATGGATCAGACCACATCAAATGTTTCGTCGCAGTGACCAGTCAATTCATTTTTCTGTAGATTTTTTTTTTTTTAATCTGATCTCCAAAAAGTACCTGCGCACTATACGCGAGTGCGCACTAGGACTGCAACGATATACCGTCCCACGGTATATCGTCAAAAAAAGTCACGGTTCGGTTCATGATACGGGGCATATCCGTACGATACGGCGTACGGTACGGGTTTTTATTTTTTTATACGCCGATCAAGGGAGGTTACTCTTACTGACTGTAAAGTTGTTAACACAATGGCGACCGATCTCAAATCTCCACCGGCGACTTTCAAATCCAAAATATGGAAGCATTTTGGATTTAGACAGGAAGATAAAGATGGTAAGGTAGTAACAGAGTTTACAACTTGTCGCCACTGCGATATGAATGTATCTTATAAATGTGGGAACACAACAAATATGGCGACGCACTTGAAACGCCATCACAAGGATATCTACGAAAGTCTTTCTCATGAGTTATCACGAAAGAAAGAGAAAACAACAACACAGGAATCGAGTAACACTAGCTGTACTACTGGTCAACTACGCCTTCAAGATGTATTACACAAAAGAATGACATTTTCTTCACCAAGGGCCGTGGCGATAACAAAGTCCATCGGACAATTCATTGCAGTAGACATGAGACCTTTTAGCGTTGTTGAAACTTCGGGATTTAAGCACATGATAAATACACTAGAACCAAAATATTCCATCCCATCGAGAGCCCATTTCAGCGAAAAAATCATTCCTGAAATATATAGTGAAACTGTCAATAGAGTAAAGAATGAACTTAGTCAGGCTGACTTTATCGCTTTGACCACAGATGGATGGACATCTAAGGCCACACAGAGTTACAACACTGTAACAGCTCATTTTATTGATAATGACTGGAATTTGAAATGTTATGTGCTGCAAACAAGGCCGTTATTTGAGTCTCATACAGCTGAAAACTTGGCAGATGTGTTACAGGAAACTGTGAAGGAGTGGAAATTAAAAAGGACAGTAAAAGTTGGAGAAGTTCTTTCAGACAAAAGGATTGCTGTTACCACAGACAATGCTTCAAATATTGTTAAAGGTGTAAATCTAGCTGGTTTTGAACCACACATTAGATGTTTCGCCCACTGCTTAAATTTGGCAGCCCATAAAGCTATGCAGATAAGCTCTGTTTCTCGACTTTTGGGTAGAATGAGACGAATAGTCACATTTTTCCACTCAAGTTCCACAGCTACAAAGAAACTTAAAGATAAACAGAAAGCATTGAACCTTCCAGCAAAAAGACTTGTCCAAGATGTGAAGACCAGATGGAATTCCAGTTTTGATATGATGAGTACTTTTCTGGAACAGCAGCCAGCTGTATATGCAACATTAACGGAGAAAGACATTAAAAAGAACCTTAAAGAAGTTGTAACCCTATCTGACACGGACATTTCTCTAGCTGAGGAGTTGGTAGATGTGTTGAAGCCCTTGAAAACCATAACCACCATCATGTGTGAGGAAAAATCACCCACTATATCTCTAGTTCACCTGATGAAGGAACGACTGCTAAGGCAACTGAGAGAAAATGAGTCTGATTCAGGTCTTGCTGCCCAGGTAAAAACAGAAATACGTAATGACATCGAGTCAAGATATTCTGATCCAGACATCATCAGATGGCTTGAGATGTGCTGTGCCCTGGATCCCAGATTCAAGACCCTGCCCTATCACGACCAGGTCGAAGCCAATCGAGTCTATGGCAATCTTGTAGACATGATGACAGAATCAGAAGAAGAGGTATTTTTGCATGATTTAATAGTTGAATATCTGTTGAATTTAGCAAATTAAACTTAAAATAGTTCTTTATGGTATTTTAGAGGTTTGTCAAAAGTCTAAACTATTGTTTATAATTTTATACTTGTAACTCTGCTTGTAAGTTTTGTATACATGTGTTACAGTATTAGGTAATTAAAAAGTATTTTCATAATGATACATACAGATACAATGATTATAGCAAACATTCTATTCACGGGAATATTTTAATAACCTCTAATCTGCCTTTGAGACATTAATTTATTATGACCTACTGTTAACATTATATCAAAACGTTTTATTTAACATTGTTAAGGTTCAAGTTTCATTTTGTCACTTTGATTCTTAAAATTTTATTTGCTTTATGTCTTTGACAAAGACATAAAGCAAATAAAATTCTTTGCCCTTTCTCCTTTATTGATCTGTTTATATCCTCTTGGTTGTGTTGTGTTAATTTTTTCAGTTTTCTGCTTATTCTGATGTTTAACAGTCATACAGTGACTATTTATCGTTGGACAAAAAAAAAACCCCAAATATCCAAAACATAGACATAACTCATCTTAAAGGTAGGTTGAACATATTTGGAGTTACATGTACGTTACTGATTATTGATTTATAAATATAATAATAATATACAACATGTACAATGTATGTGTCAAATTGTCAATATAGAATTCATCATTTTCAAGGAAATGTTTTTATAAACACTAAAAAGGTAATGAATTTAAATGATTAATAAATAGAAGCAACTTTTTAAAATTGTTTAAACAATTACAATTCCATTGTGAAATTCTTAATTTCATACATTTCTGTCATTTCATGATTTCAGTTTCACTGTATTTTTAATTATTTACCATAAATTTACATGAAGTTTAGTTTAAATCTGACATAATGTTTGCTCATAATTATTGAATAATCAATATCTAATTAATCTATCCATACTATATCGAGTTAAGTAATATATAAAATAAATATTTCTTTTATTAAAAACACAATTAAGGTTATCAGTAATCCCATGTCTGGCATTTTCTGAGTGTTTAGAATTTGTTGAACTAATATTGTATTCTAATTAATTTGTTAGGTTCGAGTGAAAATGGAGCCAGACCAGAGTCCATCCACATCAGATGATGCCATGAAAACTGACAGGATTAGCAATACAAAAGGTTAAAATAAAATTTAATAAATTTGGTCATAATTTTATTGTTCATTTGCACACTCATCTTAGTGACCTTACCAAATAAAACTTTTTCATTGACCCAAAATAGTTCAGTATTACCCCTGCAAAACACTGTAAGTCTATAACACTAATATAATAATACACATTTAAAGTTTATAACTTTACATGTAAATACCTATAAATTGCTTAAATGTTAATTGTTTATTTTAATTTTTTACATGTATGTTTATAGCTTTTCAATTCTTTTTCAGGTTCTCCTGATTCAGATGAATCAGTTGAATCTAGTCCTAAAAGGAAAAAGCTGAAGTCTGCCATGGAAGATCTGTTTGGGGATATAATGGTTGTAAATGTTGAACCTGGGAAGCCAATTAGAACCAGGGCTGAGAATGAGATCCATAAATACAGAGCCTCACAAGGAATCCAACTTAAGGACAACCCACTGGCATGGTGGAGAGAGAATCAGGATAATTTTTTTTTTTTTTTTTACTGCAAACATTTTATTGACTAAGACTAGACATACATAAGATTACAAATGTGTCCTCACACAGGAGGGCTCTCATACTTTCACACATCATTCAGACTTCTCATATTCCAGACTATGAAATACATGTACACACACCTACACACATACTTTTAGTCTTAAATGTTCATACTAACATCCCTTACATTCAACATTACGACTGCTAACAATAAGCTAAATCTAAACATAACTGTACACCTCTCACCATTCTCACTGTTACCACATGTACACAATTCACATTTACAGGATTCCCCCCACCCTTCCCCCAAGAAAAAAGAGTGACATTGTGTGCAAAAGGGTACCCCGGGGCATTGTCAGAGGGCCTTACCCAACTGAAACATCACTCTTGATATGTGTTTTGTTACTAATGATCTTACAATATAAAAAGGGGAATATATATTAGCAACGTTAAGTATTTTTATATGTCCAACGCATTTTCAAAACATCCCCATTTTTGTTGAAATTCCGCTAATCTATTATTCTTTATACTAACCCACTTTTCAGTTTTCATTGTCTTTTTGAATAAAATTTTACAAATTTCAAAGTTAGGTATGCACTCTTTAACTCGACAAGAGTAAATGTGCTGTTTTAACAATAGTATTAAATGATTCAAACAGAGTCCGAATTCAGGTTTTCCAAACAAAATATCTACTTCTCTAAATGATGTATATATATGTAGATCATTGTATTGTACATACCAGGCAGTAAATTCCTCAATTAGTCGGATGGTGAAATAACACTGGGTGAAGATGTGTTCCACTGTTTCTGGTTCTCTTTCACAGAAAGTACAAAGTTCATTGGATGCTATTTTCATTTTGAATAAGATATAGTTTGTAGGAAGTATTCTGTGACAAATTTTATATTGAAATGCTTGAAGTTTGGTCTCTTTTGTACATTTAAAACAACTAGTGTATACATCATCCCAACTAATATTTTCGTTAAAATTAATTTTTGTTGCCCATTTTACTTGACATCTTAATGGCTTAATAACTATCTTTTCAATGAACATTTTATACACACACTTTAAATTCTTTTCAATCATAATTGAAGAAATGATGTCCTTTCCTTTAATAGGAGTGATAGTGTTAGCATTTTCTACTTCTTGTCTTAATTCTAACTTCCACTTTCTTTCCAACTTATTAACTAAAGACAAATGCTCAATAAAATCAAACGATGGTACATCAGAGAATACAACGTAGTTTTTAAGTACCCCATTTTCATAAAGATCACTAATGCTTTTCAGCCCATGCTGACTCCAGAGAACAGCCTTTTTTATTTTCTTGTATGGAACTAAATTTATCAAACTCTTGCCCAAATATTCCTGAATAGTTGTTGCTTCAAATTGAATTTCAGATAGTGCAAAACATACATCCTGCCAAAATTGATTTTTTACATTTTTTCCAATTTCTCTCAGTTTTACTCTGTCAAGATCAAATAAGATATCAATATCAACAGGAAAGATTTCATTAAGTAGTGATTTCCATGATGCATTGAATTCTCCATAAACTCTTTTTATCCATTTAACCTTTAAATATTTAATAAAAGAAACCAAATGTGTCATATTCAGTCCTCCATCTTCTAAGCTAGCAATTAATATATCTCGTTTGATCTTTTCACTTTTATAATTCCATACAAAATTGTAAATACTCTGATTGAGTTTATTTATGAACAGGCTAGAAGGGTTTGGTAAACAGGTGAATAAGTGTACAAATTTTGGTATAATAAGAGTCTTTGCAATAGTTATTCGACCTATTAAGGTGAGATCACGACATGACCAGAGTCTGAAAATTTTATTTATTTGGTGCAATTTACTATCAAAATTTATCCTTTCCATATCCTGAATATTAAGAGAAAAAGTTACACCAAGTAACTTAAATTTATCTGTTGACCATTTCAAATTCAATTCTGGGCATATTCTGTCTTCTGAAAATTTCTTACTCCCAATCCAATATAAGCTTGACTTTTGTAAATTAACCTTTAACCCTGATAAAATAGCAAAATCTTCTAAAATGTGTACAGCAGTAGAAAGAGAATGGCTGGATCCATCTAAGAGGAGATAAGCATCATCTGCGTATTGCCCAAGTAAAAAATCTTTCCCAGATATTACCAAACCTTTGATACCATTGTCTGATTTCAATGATAGTGCTAATAATTCAACAACAATAATAAAAATATACGGTGATAATGGGTCCCCTTGGCGGCAGCCACGTTCGAGACTGAAGAAAGGCGATATATGACCGTTATTAATAATACAACTTTTTGAATCATTATACAAAGTCTTGAACCATTTACGTAAAGATAAACCAAAGTTAAAAGATTCCAAAGCTTTATCAATAAAATTCCATTCTACAGAATCGAAAGCTTTCTCAAAGTCCAAAAGATACAATAACCCAGGCTGATTTTTTTCATCTAGAAATTGCATTACATCATACAATAGCCTAGTATTATCTCCAATAAATCTACCTTTAATAAAACCAGTTTGAGATTCACTGATGATATTCGGAAGTACTTGTTTGATTCTATTTGCTATTGCTGCAGACGCTATTTTGTAATCAATGTTCAAGAGTGATATTGGTCTCCAATTTTTCAAATATCGTCTATCTTTTTCTGTCTTTGGAATACATGTGATAACTCCTTGACTCTGAAATTCCGAAAGATGACCAGTACTGTATGCATAATTAATTGACCTGCATAAAAATATTCCTATATCTTTCCAGAAAAATTTATAAAATTCTGCACCAAAACCATCTGAACCTGGACTCTTGTCATTTTTCATATTTTTTAAAGCTTTTGACAATTCATCTATAGTTATAATTCCTTCACAGCTATCCCTATCAGTTTGATTTAATTTAATTTCATGTCTTAAAAAATAAGAATTATCAACATGAGTATTGTCTACTTGTCTAGAACTATAAAGGTTTTTGAAAAAATCAACTTCAGCCTGAATTATATCCCTTGGACTGTCAAGAATTCTACCGTCATCTGCAATAAGCTCTACGATAGATTTATTTACAAAGTTTCTTTTTTCTAAATCACAAAAATATTTTGTTGCCTTTTCTCCATTTTCATACCAATTTGCTTTGGATCTAATTATTAATCCTTCTATCTTTGTTTTCCTAATATTTTCCAACTGTTGTTTTTTATTTTCGTATTGTAAACATAGTTCTCTGTTGGGCGACTCATTGATTTGATTTTCTAATACCGATATTTCAGTTTCTAGACTGTTTTCTTCCCTCCTAGTATTTTTGGCTTTAGATACTGAGTATGAGATAGTGATAGACCTTATTTTCATTTTCAGAATTTCAAAAAATAATTGGTCATTAATTCTTAACTCTAATGTTTCATGCCTTTCTTTATTCCCTGAACTATAGTATTCTTCAATGGTTTCCTCAATGCAATCTCTTACTTGTTGTATGTAAGTTAAATCCTTCAATAATGATGTATTGTGTTTCCAATACCCTTTACCCTTTTCAGAATTTTTGAAATTTATTTCTAAAATAATACATGAATGATCAGTTCTATAACCTGGTATAATTTTGCAATCTTTGGTTCTTGAATAGATATCATTAGAAATAAGAAAGTAATCTAATCTACTTTGTCGAACTGGATTTCTTTGCCTCCATGTAAAAGATTTTAATTCAGGATAAAACTGCCGCCAAGGATCAATCAAATCATATTTGTCCATTATATCTCTAATTACTTCTTTTGCTTTTGGATTATTTATGTTTAATATGTTATATGTATCCATATTCTTGTCCTGAACAGAGTTCCAATCCCCACATAATAGCACTGATGAATTATTGAAAGCTTGTAAAGTGTTAAAAAATGTATAAAAAAAGTAGGAGAATCCTGATTAGGACCATAGACACAACCTATTGTTAATCTATTTTGGTTTATTGATATATCTAAAAGGATGAAACGACCCACTCTGTCTACTCTGCTACCGTGAATAGAAAATTCAAACGTATTTCGAAGCAAAATTGCTACCCCAGCTGATCGTGAATTGAAGTTACTGAATATACATTTATACCCCCACTCCCTTTCCCATAACGCTTCTACTTCACCTGTACAATGCGTTTCTTGTAAACAAATAATATCTGCTTTTTTTCGTTTAAACCAGTGGAACACATCTCTCCTTTTAGTGGTATCGGAATATAAACCCCTTACATTCATAGAAAGACATTTTATACTACCCATAGCAACAATGCTGACCCAGAGGGCAGCCCCCTAACCCTACCCTGATGACCCTGCACACACCAAACTTGTCTCCTCCCCCCAAAACAACACATATCCCCTTACACCACCTAGTTAAAAAGTTAACAACCATAGCTAAGCACATGTGTAGGCCACTCTCAAGCTCTGCACTATACAAAATTGTAACATGTGTATAGTTTATTTACTTACAGAGATCACTCATACTCAAACTTCTACTTGCTCAAAATCAGAGATACTTATAATTCTGAACTATAATATTAATCTATAAGCTAATAGATATATGCACAAACAGTTAATAGATTAAAAAGATTACTTCAAAGTTTTCAGAAATTTGGACACAAAAATGCTTACCTTAAAATATGGTGTTTCTTAAATCCCACACATAATCACTCACAATAATTTGGAATTGCACACATATTTGAAATACACAATTATGAAATTAGAAACAAAATGCACTTGTGTCTATCTGCCTCTGAAAACATCATTCACACTTTGGAACAAGTCCACTGGCTTCCTGACGCCATCACAGACTGCGAAAACACGTCCATTGAAATACCAAGCGTTCTCAATACGCTCGTTACTTTTCAGTCTGTTGATCAGTCCTGCATTGTCCTTGGTCAAATCATCCACCAGCTTCATGGTCCCCATCAAGTTTTTCCTCTGTTTAATTACACTGTTCCTAACATCTTTCTTTACAAACTTCACCACCAATGGTCTATCTCTCTTAGTATCTCTCCCTGGAATTCTATGGACTGTCACCAGGTCATCTCGATGGATTGGATGGCTAATTACTTTGTTGACCTCATCACAGAAATCTTTCATCAAATCTCTCCTGTTCTCATCATCCACATTCTCCTTCTCCTTAAAATCCATCACTTTTATGTTATTTCTCCTGCTATATTGCTCATTGTAGTTTCCCTTCCTTATGCCATCTTGAGCCATCCTTTTAACTTCTTCCATCTCTTTGAACACTGAAGTTTGCACCCTCTCTACCTCTCTCTGCATCTCTGTACTTTGTTTCTTCAACTCGTCTATCTCCCTCTGTTTACCCTGAAGTGATTCCTGTAACCTGTGGTTGTGTGCATTAACTAAGTCCAATTCCTGTCTCATTTGTGCAGTTTTCTCAGTAATCTTTTGTCCTAAATCCCTCTCCAGATCTTTCCTCATAGATTCCACTATAGAGCTCACTATTTTCTCAATGTCCTTGGATTTCACTAATCCTGCAGATAAAGCTGTCAAATCTGCTTTCTTCACCACATTCTCCAACTGCTCCTTTATCTTTGAGATATCCTGTCTGATATCTTCATCAACTGCAACATTAGTCGATATACTCTGTCTAGTTGAAGGGCCCCCTGCTGTTCTGCTAGTCTTAGTGTGAGTAGACATAGCTCAGGTATGTACAGGTAAGCACACTAGGTGTCAAAGTAGGAAGGTAAGAATGTAGCCCAGGTAGGTAAAACCAGGTACACAGGTGACTACAGGTGAGCACAGTTCACTGACACTAATGTTCACAAAAAAATTTATTATTTTCCTTCAAAATGTTCAAATTCCAAAGTTCATTTCAAAAAACAAATCAACCAAAGTGCTTAGAAAACACTTATACACATGTCTGACAAATTTGGACTCAAAACTCTTCCAAAAATAGCAATAAATCCACCAAAATTATCAGAGCAGCCTGAGTGTGTGTTGCCTACTCAGCGGCCATTGTCCATTCCCAGAATCAGGATAATTATCCTATTCTCTCCAGACTTGCCAGATCATATCTGGCAATTCAGGGTACCTCTGTACCCAGTGAACGTGTCTTCTCAACTGCAGGAGACATAGTGTCTGCGCAGCGTGCTGCCCTTTCACCTGAAAATGTGGACATATTGATCTTTTTAAAAAAAAAGAACTTACAATTTTAATTTGAACCAATATGTGTTAATTGTTGTAGTTTGATAAAGTTTGAAAGGTTAACATTGTTTATATTTTGTTTTAATTCAGGTATCATTACTTTGTTTATTGCATTCTAAGTTGAAACACTGTATCGCGATACGTATTGTATCGTGGCCCCTGTATTGCGATACGTATTGTATCGTGAGGTACCCGTATCGTTACACCCCTAGTGCGCACTATACGCGAATATTTACGGTATATATAAATATAAATTATGTACAATGAACTTACAATGTCTGGTTTATTTCTTGACCGCTCCCTTAGCACTTCAACCTTTTTTACCAGAGGAACAGAATAGACATGGACAGGTGATCCTGGTGTTGGTTGGTTTTCAGCTTATCTTATATCTGGTGACATGGTATCAACATGGTCATCCTTAACCTGAAAAAAATTAATAGTAATATATATAGATCTAGTTGCAAAAATAAATAAATATTGCATAATAGGAAAAGAATTTCATCTTGTTTCCTGCCTCATTTTAACCCCCTCCCCCACTTTAAGTTTTTATGTCACTAATTAACACACTGACACCAGCTGTCTAGTGATTTCTCAAAAATCCTTATCTTAATTTCACTTATGATTATTGCAAATCCACTTGCCCAACAACCTTGGCAAGCTGTTTATAAACAAATCAACTCCCAAAACTACATGTACATGTAGCTCCATCTCTTGTCATTGTAACCAGGAGCCATCCTAGAGCTATGTGTGTGCCCATTTGTTACCAAGATAGATTTAGCATTGCATGCACATATACATACTTTTATTTCAGTTTTTAATTTTACTAAAAGTCTAACAAAATTAAAAGCACAAAATAAAAATGACATTTGGCTAATGAAATAATTACATAAATATGAATTAAATGTTTTTCCAGAATATTTTTTTTTCCAGGATAATTTTTTACCCTACTTACTGTACTGTACCTACCCTATTTTTAATTTGTCAAATTAAAGGTGGCAGGGAACAAAACAAATGGGCCTTATACTACAAAACACATGCTATGCAACATTTATCTCTTTATCAAAAAGAAAGTTTAAACTTATAAAACTCAAAGATATGTAAAATGCATATGAAACCAACTGCTGTCCCATGGCCAGAACATGAACTGATCAGCTTTTGGCATGCATATGATGGGGCTACATGTACACGTGAATGACCTCGTAAAGTCGGCATAAAACATAGGAGCCCCACATTATCCCTAAACTTGAAATCAAACAGATCTAGAGTCTACTGCCAAATTCAGAAAACAAATTTATTAGAAATTTACCAAAACCGGTGTGTTAATATGATGATAATGAATGATGATGATGGTGGTGGTGGTGATGATGATGATGACTCGTATGTGTGAATGTTAGTATAAGTGTCATGTCTTGTTAATTTTTTGAAATATAGATTCTAGATATACTGTGCTAAAATTTGACCCTTCTGTCACAAACCTGACCCATTTACTGGAGAAAAATGGTACAAAATGCAGGATGGACAACAATTTGTGAAATTCAAGCAGCAGCAGTTTGTTTAGGTCTAGATATAATGTTTGGTTGAAGGGACAGTAACTTCAGGTGAAAAAAAAACCAGTTAATCATCTTCAACTTAACTTTTTTTCCATGGACCACAGCTATGCCACTGATCACTGCTACCATGGAGCATCTAACATAATAAACTATACAGCAAATGTGATAACATACATAATGGTATTAATATATATGTATATGTATACTGTACCATGTTGTACATGCTGTGAAAGTACCGGTAACTCTACCTACAGGATGGACTCCATTGTCCCACAACACTGTGTAACCCGGTTGTACTGGGGTCTATTAAAGGATGACTAGAACAACCGGGTCGGGTTCGTTTATTTAATACAGATAGTCATAGTTGAAGGTACATCACCAATACATAAATTCCTACCTAACACAATTTACACAAAAAAACTTTCCCTCCAAAAATACAGGTAGATTACATGACCATACCTATACATAGAACATATACAACACTGATACTCAGGTAAGTGAAGGTCACGGGTTCGGACCCCAGTCTGGCTGTGCATTTTTAACACTCCTGCTTCATTTGGTGTGGTGACCAAACCTTGTTTCAAGCAGTAGGTGAGTGCTTAACAAGGGGATACCCGAACCTGGATTGCTAGATGTAATGTCTTCGGGGGCGAAGACTTAAAATAAGGAGGGAGGAGTGTAGCGGTACTGGAGCGGGTCAATCGTCCGCGACCATTTAATAGGTATTATAACCTACTCAGTAGGTAGAGCATCCGTCTAGAGTTCGGAAAGGTCCCGGGTTCGAACCCCGGCCTGGCCGTGCATTTTTCCTCTCCTGTTACACACTAATAAATTCATAAATATATGCATAGTCCCTAATTGCATAACTTTACAATAGACAACTTTACCTACACGAACACTAATTATATAAAAGAAGTCAAATAATTAAAAGACCACAGTTATTATATGCTATATCAATACAATATTTTATCTGAGAAATTACATTATTGAATGAGGTGAAATCGTTCACCTGGCCACAACTGGACTGATGAAAGATCTTGGATACACGTGTAAAATCAGGTAAAAAATATTTTCCCTTTTCTAGGCCTAAATCAATGTTTATGATATCAAATAAATTCTTGATCGGGGATGGCAAAAAATGCAGTGTGACAACTGACATAAAACTGGGCTAGCTTCGCTCTTTCCAGGCCGTGTCTGACTCATATTATATTGAATGTATGTTTGATAGTGAAATATAATGATATAAATTAAGACCATTTTTAACTGAAGTACCGAAACGTCCAGGTACCGAAACGTCCAGGTACCGAAACGACCAGGCACCATTTTGTATCTCCGCCATTTTGTAGGCTACCTGTCATAATTTTATCATGGCAACTTTACGGTGAGATAACTCGAAATTAAATTTTCTTTTTTATACCAATGTAGTTACCCTTGTAATTATCAGAATATACAAACTTGAAAACGAGTTAAATATTATTTTTATTGCAGAATAGAAACAAAATATAAAATAATAAACTTCATGGAACTTTATTTAGTCAACTACAGACCAAGCAAATACTTTTGTGTACAAGATACATAAGATACAGTCTAATATGTGTTCGTGCTTAGTCGTAGTTTACAGATCAGTTTTGCACCGAGAGATCACTCTGTCAGCGAGTGCACTGCTACGATAAAAATAGCCTGTAAACTTTACTACCCGAGTCACAAATGCGATCAGAATAATGTTGACGACTTAATACAAAAGGCATTTAAATTTAAATAGACATGGACTTACCTTACTTTGATTCCAAGAATATAACATCAAATATGATGCATGTTGTTCCCGCACTCTTCATAACATGTGTGTAAGTTGTACTTCCGCTGAAAAGTAGAACGCCTACCTGAATTATGTCGTTAAAGTGTAAAATAGCCCAATGTACATTTGTCTGCAGCTATGTGCCGTGTAGAAAACGTAAATCATGATAATGACCGGCTATAACATTTTCATGGTAAATTGTTAAGAAATATATATTTTACGACAGAGGTGGGCAAAGGTTAACACACTTATTGATATAGTTGTTGCTATTCATTGCATACGTTTTGGGGTTGACAAGTCACTTTTAAATTCAGCTGAGAAGCACATGATTAGCTTCAAGTATATCCATATATATGTAACACAATGAAAATGATGAGATCTGAAAATATTTATCCCGCGTAGGACCTCACACAAAAAGTCATCTTAAATCTTATTCCACGATTGTCAAAATGACGAAAACTTAGGGCGACAACAAAATGTCCCCATAAGTGATTTTTCTGACATATAAATATCTAAAAATCGCACATTTTTCGAAAAAGCAATGTTTTTTCATGGTTGGTGACTTTTTGCTTTTATTCAAATCGATTTGATGTTAAAACAATGACGGATTATCAATGTCCACCTAAATGATGTATTTATATGGTGTCCCCCTAATGTGACTTTCACGAGAATATATATATCTTATTGACTGTCAGATTATGAATTATTGTAACAGAGCAGTTGCTGAATACTTTAGGTACAGTGTTTTGTGTGGTGGACATAATGTTAGAAACATTTTGAACATTGGACTGAGCAGGTGTGAACTCATTCAGTATATCATTCAGATCAACTCCAACTAATTCACTACAAAGGTTGTTAGAAATGGGCAATAATTCCTTAAGTGGGGCTGAACGGACACCTAACAGAGATGACCGTGTACCAGTGCTAGGGCCAGGCAAGGTCAAATCTTTAGAACCAGGTACAATATTCTCAGATAAAGTTTGTCCCATCTGAATTTTTTCCTCATCACTGACACGTTGGTACGTAGTAAGGGACTGGACACTTTTGTGTCCTGTTACAGACATTATTTGCGCAGCTCCATACCTATTTTTTGAGAGAACAGTGGCTCCAGTAGCTCTGATAGAGTGATTAGTGTACACCTGTGATAAGTCACATGACTTGCTAAGATCTGTCATAAAGGATTTTAGCTTTTTCTCCCCCACTGCAGCATTACAATACCAAATTTCATCTGTGTCCAAAAAACTGTCTTTTGGTCTTTGCCAGAGCCTGAAAAGAGAAAAATAAGTACAACATCAATACATGAAAAAAAAAAAATGTTGCGAGAGGCATGTTTTCTTCAAATTAGACAAAAATGACTGCATGATTAATTTATGAAATAATAAATATGTTTATCTGAATGGATTGAATGCGAAAAAGTTAAGACTGAATCTCTCAATTTTTACATTTCTACATCTAGATTTATTTTTTCCGTAAATCTGAAATTTTTGAACTTTGAATAGTAAAATAACAGATTATCATAATAATTAAACTTGCCTGTCATTTTCTGGGTTTAATCTGCTGAGATACTTCAGGAATGAGGTCACTGGACAGTACAAGGACCCTGGTATTTCTGGCATAACGCCTGCTGTCGATTGCTTGTCATTTTCCCTGTGATTTTTTGTAAGCTCATCGACTGCTTTCTTTACGTATCTCAAGCCGTTGTTTGCATCCGTTGTCACTTTAAATGTTGTTTTCGTCATGTTTTGCATGTTTTCATTCCCCCTTCGGCAGAAATACAATCTGATATCAAACTGTACTTTATTGAAAAGTCCAGTAGGTGTTAAAGTGGAGAGACGCATAGAGGTGTAGATTTTCTCTCTGTCGGCTTCAATTATCACAGGATAGTGAGAAACGTCACCTTTTCCAAGGCGTTTAAGTTCCGCCAATGAAGCTTTAAAATTTATATTGGAGTCAAAGAATTGAGGATCCTTTACGATGTCATATTTTTTGTTGAAAGGTGGATTTCTCAAATAGCTATTCAGGCCGTGTCGAATGCTTTCCAAGGATGTGGCCTTGTAATACGTCCCATCACATTTCCTGGCATCCATGTAAAAATGGCCAAGACATTCGTCCAGTCGGACTACATCGTAATCTTCAAAATCTGGGTTTTGCTGCTTTTCCACCAAATAATCTTTGAACACTTTAGCGGCCAACTTATTAGCTTTTAACGTCTTATCAGCGTTAAGTGCCAGGCGTTTTTTTTCCTTGTCTGCAGCTGTCGTCTGCCCGAACCGCCCAGCCATTTTTGATCGAGTCAAATAGGTGCTTCGTGTAGGGGAAACAACTCGTACTAGATAATAGCAACTTCTAGGATTCACTCTAGCCAATATTCCGACACGAAGCAGAATGTGAATATCGCCAATCTGTGATTTGAAATTACGAAGAGACGCCTTTCAGAGATAATGGATGGCGGCCATTGCCCCCTATATATTCAGCTGCCCCCTATAGATTTATAGGGGGCAAGCAACGTCCAATCAGATCAATGCATTCTAGTCCGAGGTGCAATAAATGATGTATATATCAATATATGAAACAAAAAACAGAATAAACGGACGGAATAAATGCACAAAAACCAGAGGCCGGAACAAGGATCATGGGATGGAAACACAAACATGAAAAATAAACGTAATTCAATAAAACGTCAATAAACCAAGGACAAGATATGAATACAGGAAATATTTATATGGTGACTCATGAAGTGTTTTCTGCTTCATAGCCGACACCCGTGATATAAATTTGTCAATCCATGTAAGTAATGTCATGCAACTTCTAGGTATCATGCATTGTACCTATAAGAATATTTTCTGTCCTTTTACTTAAGGTCTGTCGTATATGGAATACAATAGATTGTTAACTGATAAAACAATAATTTCTGTTATGTCCGATGTTTAAGGTTTTGTTCAGGAAAGGCGGTTGCACTTCAAATCAAAATTTCATTCTTGTAGTCATTGGTGGACGTGGTGCAAACGTTACCCTGTCAACATATACAAAACACATTCGTGAGACAATGAAATGCATCATAAAGTATTTCATAGGATAACGTACTTCTTGACACTGTGTACTTTTGAATATTTCTCTGTATGTTCAAGAGTGTTTGCCTGATGTTCTCGTTGTTTTGTTCATTTTAATGAAGAATATTATCAATATGTGATTTTTTAAATACATTAACGTACTCGCTGACTATGTACACTTTGTAATATTTCTCTATTCTTTCTTTTGAGCGTTTATCTGATGTTCTCTTTGTTTTGTTGAACTTATTAATTGAGATGTTTAATATTTGATCTGGCGTATATTCCGTCATTCATAGATTAACATGTAAAGCTATGATAACATAGCAACTTTTTTTTTATACAAACAAGAAGAAATCACGTACTCGCAATCCCACGCCTTAGGACTCAGTGTTTTCGGGTCGAATCTCGTTCTCTGTGAAGTATCGGGATGCTTGGTCTCTTCAAATTCAACCATGCTGGTATTTTCCTTAACAACCTTCTTCGACGTGACGTACTTGAGTACGGCTGTGACACCCAGTATGAGAACCGCTACCCCGATTAATACCCCAGCGATCAGTCCTAGGTTCGTCTCTGTGTCCTCCGTTACGTATGTGACGTCATCCCCATCCTGTTAAAGTATAACAATGGCTTTTTTATACGCAACAAAAAAAAGAAACACATAAAGTTCCAACCTGCAGTATACCTTAGCTTGTTAGGAAATAATGGAATATTTTGTCAGGTATTACATCAAGAGTGATCTCTCTATTTGGCAATTTACCCAAAGCAGGATTTTTTTCGAACGAATAATTTCAAAGGATATTCTAAGTTCAGCCACATTAATTTTCCACGTCGGCATTTTGATTTCGCCATTGACCGAGATGTCACTAACGCAAATTCAGACGGGTAAAGCAATTGCGTTGCAGATGGATGGTCACAGCCAAATTGCTGTCGCAGGACAATTTGGCGTTGTCCCGTTTACAATTAATCGTATCTACACACGTTTCCATGCTACTTGGTTAGTTTAGCGATCGTCCCAGGAACGGTCGTCCGCGTATGACGACCGCATGACAAGACAGGGCGCACTTGAGCGACAGATACAGGACTGCTGTAGAGACTGTGTCGCATACCTCAGGTACTCATGGCAGACACATTAGTGCTTACACTGCCAGGAACCGCTTGAGAGAATAATTTTCCGCCGACCTTATGTCGGGTCACCTTTGACACATCTGAGGTGGCAAAGGCGTCTTGACTGGATGCGAAGACATGGCGCGATATGGTTTTGGATGCGTCGGTGGAGGCGTGTGATGTTCACCTTTGAATCTAGCGTTTCGCTGACGCATGCTTGGTTGAACGCTACATATTCGCTGGGGCTTCTCTAATGGTTTTGGGAGGCATCTCTCATTGAGTAAAATCCCCATTAATGGTCCTATATCCAAACCTCAGTGCCGTTCTATAAAGAGAACAGATCCTCTAACCACATATCTTCCCACTTCGCAGACGTCATAACCTACGTTTGCAGCAACAAAATGCTAGACCGCATGTTTCCAGAGTTTTTCATGATTTTCACACGGCAAACAACGTTCAATCTTTGGAATGGCCACCATTGGTCTCCCATTGAGCATCTGGTGGATGAGCTAGACAGACGTATTAGGAAACGACAAAAATCCCCAACTAACCACGTTGATCGCAGCATTAACACAAGCATGCAACAACATTTCCTTAAGACGAATCAATGTTTCCATGAGTTCAATGCATAGGAGAATCCGTGCAGGGATTCTTGTAAGAGGTGCCCACACCAGGTACTGAAGTGTCATTTTGTCTTTCGAGGGTATCCCTCTTTGCATAACGACTGATGACACGAGTGATGTCTTACAGACTTTTCAGTATTGTAAAGAGTAGTCTTGTCCCTTCACATTGATATATTTTTTTTGTATAAATTTCCCAAAATATCATAGGAATGCATCAGTTAATTGTGCGTTTCTGTTCTGTTAAGTTAATATACAAATATAACCTGAAGGTATCGAAAGGTTATAGACGAGCGGATCGAAATACAAAACAAAAAAAGTATATAGAACAGAATACAAAAGGAATAGTAGCTCAATAACAAATCAATTACAACACAACCAACACTTGTAGCTCCAAATTGAGTAATTACTCTTAGTAAATTTTCTGAAGCTGAAAAGTTCTTTTTGTGTTACGATTACAACATACCTTGCCAGAAGTGTCGTCTGTGATTTCCAATGATGTCACATACTGAAACCCCGATAGGGATTTGTACACATACTGCGTCGCCTGGCAACCACTTCCAGCCGTAGGAAATGCATTCAACGTAAAATTTGTTACACAGCAACTTCCACTGGAAAAAACAAAATGTGAGCCTTTAACAATGTTTCAAAAGAAATAGTTCAATTCCTATCAAAATGCCAGTTAATTAAATTATTCAAAACTGTGTTTAGTTATACATAGGTCAGATTCTTAATTATAATGCAAGTGCCAGAATGAGACCAGCAATTTATTACTGACATCACATCTATCGATCAGTAGATGGTTATGTATTGACCAGAAGCCAAGGACATACTGTTGCTACTTAATCTACTTTACATGTCCATGTATTAATTTATTCTCTGATTATATAAGTAATTAACTGAGCCCTATCTAAGAAGTTTGCATGAAGGTCCTTGCATACTTATCTTGTGGAAAACAACTTAATCTACGACCTTTCCCATGTATAAGTTTATGTCAATAACTCATGTATTACTCAATCATTGTTAGCAGCCTGTTTCCTAACCTTTTAGTATAAATAGACCTCTCTTGGTCTGCCAAAGAGAACAGAGGGGAGCAGAGGCCAGACAGGAGAGAGCCTAGTCTCCAGTAGCGAGACGCCCGCTCACTCGGGCTTTTGCAAGAGTAAGAACATCAAAACTTTGGTATGGTAAAGGCTGATTTTTGTTTATAAGTTTACATGTATATTTTGTATAAGTTAATGCAGAAAAGTTTTGATATTTAAACAAGAACTAGACTTCTCCTTTATAAACTCTTCAACATCTACATCTGAAATTCAACAAAGCTTCATCATAGACAGTCTACTAGACGCAGCGCTTACCCTTTGGGAACACCTGGTTATATTTCCCCTGTACATTTACAATCGTTTGATGAAGTGTTTCTAATGTAAATTAACCAAATAGCGACATTTTTGCGATAACATTTTCCAGGGTAGGTCAGCGAATAGCTTCTCATTGAGACTTTCATCAGCTGTCCACATTTATGACAGGAATTGTAATATTGAAAAACAATTTAAAACATCTTAACAATATTAAATGTAAATAATATCAGTTGGCATTATAGGTAGCTTGCTAAAATGAAAAGTGCAAAATAGATATTATTACGCTTAAAATACAGTTTAGAGAAAACCCCTCCTCCTGTGCCACATTGTTATTAAGAATCGAAGAAAACAACTGTTGTAGAAAGCTGATGAATGTATATCTTCTAGATAATGTCTCTAAATATGCGGTAAGGGTACCATTATTATATAAAAAGGTACAATTGAAGGCCTTGCCAAAGTCTCGGTGCCTAGTCTGAAATCTTGGTCGATAAATTCACTCTCGTGCAAAAATTAAAATAAAAAATAAGAGACGGGTTGAGTTTGATTCAACTAGTGTACTTATTATCTCAAAATCAAACCAATTCAATATTTTACATACTTTTATTGACTTTATTTCGCTTCCCGCCTTATACTTTCCAGTGTAGTTCAGTGAAATAAACACGTCCTTGTATTGATATCCACTCTATCTTAAAGAATTAAGCTCATAATCAAAGCAATTAGGCATCATACCTAAAATGGTATATTTTCGCGGTGTTTAATTTTCATGGTTTATAAAAGAACACCTTTAAATTGCACAATGATTCATGGACAGATAATATTAACAGTGAACTGATCCATGGTCATATGTATCAGTGGATATCTATTTCCGCCACGAAAGTTAATGATTTCATAGTATATGGGGATAGGTTTGACACGATTTATCGCCATTGGTTTCTGTTATGATTTGATTCAATGGTTTGTTATAAACAATATTACAGTATTTAACAATGAACAAAACTATCTCTATATGTTCTTTGTGTCATAATGACAACTAACATTACCTGATATAGAGGCGGGTCGTGTCTCCCCCGTCAATGACTACAGTCACGTTATCTGTGACTAGGAACGTCGACACGTCAAATGAAAAAACAGCAGAAGCAGACCACGAAAACAAAGAACAATTACCGGTATTTTCTACCTCACATTTAGGTGTCGTCATGAATGAAGAACAAAAAGCGCCGGTAAACTATAAATACAAAATATCATTCCTATTATTTATATAAATGTTTCCCATATCAATGAAATTATCAGCGATATAAGCTGTTTTGATAAAATGTTATAAATGGTTAAATGCATATATTAATTATACATAATATATATTATTAGTGTTTATCAATGAAACGATGCTAAAGGTATCAGGATGCAGAAAATACAATGCATAGAGGAGTCGAATATCAATTTTGAGATGACTGATAGAGCTAAAAATGTCACCGGAAATTACTTTATTCTATTGTATTATTTTTGTACTTATTTTTGTCGAATCATTATGACAATTGAATAGTGTTCTCTTCATTTGTTTGAATAGTATACAGACTGTACCATGACTGTGTATGTCGTGGACTGCAGAACAGTTGAGGATCCGAAGGAGGTGACGCTGATGGTGTACGTCCTGTGATATACAAACAGAATAAAATAATAATTGTGATTTGGATTAAACTAATACAAACTTTACTGTTGTACTGAATATGGCAAATAAATGCAATTGTTTTTTGATACTGCACCCTTGTACAACACTTCAAAACTAACATATCAAAAGTATCTGAAAGCATACAGTTTTCCCGTTAATGGCAGATTACTTCAGGCAACAGAAGTCTTGGAATTTGATTTATACGAGTTTATTTATAAGTTTTTTTAGAGAATGTATTGTTTTTCTTATTAGGCGATTAACATGATTTTATGTAATACCAACGTGTATTCCAGCTCTGTAGTGCTAGAAAGCTGAAAATTATCGGTGACGTTACTTCCTGCATTAACGCTGTGATGCTTTGACGTTGGCGGTAGGGCCCGTCCCTTATCGTCAACGATGCTGACTGTGTATGTTTCCGTGGTACTTCCCTGGTTACTCAGTGTATAGGTAATGTTCTGAAGAGTTCCGATATCAAGGTTTCCTGTAGAATGTTTATCATTTAAAAAATGCTAAATTAAGTTATATCATTGTTCAGCTCATTATATCATTGTTGTAGATAAAATATCAGGATACGATGATGGAAGATTGGTTGGATACAAGTGCTTCAACTTTAAGCAAAGGTCATTAATCCGACATGAAAATAATTTCCGTTCAAATAAATCAAGTTAAACGTACCGAATATTGGCTGAACAAATAAATCCACCCCAACAGGTGTGAACATAGCTCCTGCCATTCGCTTGAACTGGAAGCCATTTTGATCGGTCCCAATCAGCTGGACGTAAAAGTTCTGTACAATTTGAATGAGCAATATTATATATTATAAACATACATTTTAAAAACTAATTGGTAAATGATTCATCCATGTGAGTGAAAGCCAGCCAGGTTATGAAAACCATGTCAGAATATTAATTTGAAGAAGCTGTTCGCAAATGATAAAATGATATATCAGATATAGACGGGAACGTAATTGTTCCAGGAAGAAATGTTAAGATTTGTTCAGAAGAATGCCAGAATAAACATATGAAGGTGGTCTATTCCCATAACTCAACAGTTTAATAATGATTTAACAAGGGGCACTACTTACTGCTGCAGGTATGACAATTGGTATATAACCAGTGGTTTTAGACTCTCCAAACGTAATGTTTATTGGTGTATTAGAAGTGACTGTTCCGTCCGCATCCAGAATGTTTACACTGAAGGATGTCGAGGAGGTGTTGAGATTGTAGACAACAACTGCCAGCGTGTAGTTTGTACCTGTAATACAGTAGTTTTAACAATACAGAACGCCGAAATGTACTTATAGTAGCATTACAAGGAATGATTTATCAGGAGATTGGTTAAGCAGTTAATTTTAAAGTTTGAGTATGACTAACGTAATTAAAGGCATTCCGGAAAAAAAGTAATTTGCTGATCAGTTACAAAATTGTTCCAATAACAAAAAGATTACAAAAAACCCATACAAATTGATGTCTTATAACAGCCTAAAGAGTCAATACAACCATATAACAAGGTTCCAGGTTGATAAAGTGAAAGCTATCACGTATAGCGTTCCGAGTGGATTTATAATGAACCTGTTATATGGTTTCCGGGTGGACATGTAATTTACCTGTTATATGGTTTCCGGATAAATACGTATTTTACCTGTTATAGGATTCCGAAATGATACGCGATGACCTGGTAAAGTGTTCCGAGTGGATACATAAAGTACCTGATATAGGGTTCCGTGTAGATACGTAATGTATCCCAGAGTCGTCTGTCTCTATCAGCTGAACGTCGATATCGAGTTCACTGGACACGGTGATGTTTAGTTCCCATTCTCTACTGGAAAAGCGTGTCAGCATCCAGGTGCCGGGCGTCGGACTCTACAGCAGATGGATATTATAATCACTACATAACAGATCACCTTAAGTCAATCTGAAGTTTGGTTAAAGTGCAGGTCCTAATTCCTCATTACATAATCGTAATACACATGTTGTTATGTGATGTAAACCACAATGAAACGACATAAACAGTAATATGATAACAAACAAAGCACAAGACATTTCGAAAAAAAAAACCAGATTAAAGCATAAGGCAATGAACATGTCTTACTTGAATCGTCATTTTGATTTTGTAGCTGGAATAATGCCGTGTCGCATTTTCTGTTGAGAAGGTTTCTACTCTTCCTGAAATAAAGATAAATCACATGTTAAAGTGATTACTTCAAATTAGCACGTGTCTGTGTGAGTGCAATAAGCAATTGCATGGTGATATTGCTGAGAGAGAGAGAGAGAGTCTCGTGAGTGACTGATAGGATGTTGTGAGGTAGGTTGCTGCCAAGTCTGTGACCGATATGGTGTTGTGAGTGAGGTTGTTTCCAAGTGAGTACCTAATGGGTCCAACAATGAGGCTTCGGTGAGGCTGTGTGGACCAGTGATGCTGATGAACAGGCTAATTGATCCGCTATCTACCGTTATTGTCATAGAGTTGCTCTCTCCAGTAGTCTGGATAAAATAGTCCATCACGGCGATAGAGGATGCAAAGTTTTCCTGCGAAAGAAATGCAAATAATTCCATGATCAGTTCCTTGAAAAAGGCGCGTAATTCAAACTTTATAACGTAAATCCGCTATGAATATTTTTTCTATATATCCATTTATCATTTTTATTCTTATCGCGCTCGACGTCTGATATGCTTCCATGGTCACAGTTCAGAATACATTAAATTCACCAAGAAAAGTGCTGTGATTTTATTCTATTTTTGTAATTCTACTAATTATAATTATAGTTTTTATGACCCGAAGCGTTACTATGTACTCTGAAGAAACGAAATGTCCTTATGATGGAGTTTCACACCTTTTTAACAATGATGTAACTAATTCTTAATATGTATTGAAAGATGCAATTGTGTTATTTGTACAATTCTTTAAACATTAAACTCAACAATTTACATGTTGATACGACTGTGGCATGAAATTAAGGTATATACTTATGTACGTATCGATGTCATTGCGGGTAATCACGTGATATTATACCTCGAGTAAATGACCAAGGACAGTGGAGAGTTCAAGGCTACCGATTTGGTACACACTCCCACCGCTAGATGCTGCTATATTCTGGAATGTCGCCAGGTCTCTCTTCTTTCTAGATAAAATATCTGCAATAAAGGAATACGGTCGTCAGAGTGATATTATTGAGAAATACTCTATTTCGTTGTACGATATGAAGATTGAATGTTCGTTGGATATTGAGTTCTTGTTCTCAGTTGATGAACGTGGCATTATTTACTTGAATTGTCCTCTTACTCTCCCGGAACACCTGGTTTTATTCCTCATTTACTTTGATGTAGTATCCATGTTAATTATATTCACCATAGTTATATTGAATTTGAGTTTAAATGGTTACTTTGACATATTGGTATTCTCTTGTACAATGAAATTCGCCTTCTAGATTGCAGCATTTCAGGCGTTTATCATTATTGACCGGTTCCATGTATTGCAATCTGGTGAACCCTTTGAACAAACTACTTTCACTTTTTTACAGGATGTACTTTGCTTTCAATCATTAGTATTAATATACATTTCTTCTTTTTTGTTTAAATTTCTGCATGGCTACAATGTGTCAACAAACAAGCTGCTGATCACGTCGCCATCTAATAATGATATTGTACAGGTTGCAGAAAAGCTCCTGGCCCTGTCAGTATTCGGGAGGACAATATATATCCTCTCCACATTTCACTTTTTTTCTAGTCAATTAGTCATCTATATGTAAAAAAGGACATTAGAAATAAAACACTACAATGAATTATATTTCCGCATCAAGCTATTATATCAAAAACCCTACTAATGAATGAATGCAATCGCTTTGGTTTTATCATCGGAACATAGACAAGCTGTGTTAATCCTGGTAGGATATCTAACGTTAAACACTAAACAATAATATTAGTATTAGTAATAACTGAAAACGATACGTATATATATATATACCTCTACGTCGTCGTGACGAAGAACATGATCCTGTCAACAGAAAATGAACTTTGATCCCCTTCGCAATTATTGCACTAATGGCAGTGTTTGCATCAGAGGAATCTTTGGCGCTAGCGTCAGTGGCAAGGAATATTTCTGAATTTGGTTCCGAGAGTTCAACACCTGAGGAAGGATGACACAAAGGAATGCCTTTATATAAAACTTTAATGTAAAGTAATTAATATACAGGAGGGGAAATTATCAATAATAATACAAATGCATCACGTGACAATATAAATGTAGAATCAGTTCCTAGAAGTGATTGGAAAATCAACACATTATTAGTTAACACCGTCATCATAAAACCGACATGTCATCCATATCTGATTGTCAACAGAAAAATATCTCCCATATAAAGCGTTTAACAACAAGTAAAATACCTTCATTTCATCGAAATCTGAACGCAGTCAACGACAAGATCAGACATTAACGAGCACTGGACATCATATGTCATGTAGTGGACCAGAAACCTTTCCTTTTAATCTGAATCGTTTTAGATCTTTTCTGTATAAGTCAACATTAAAGACAGATTCATATGTGTATGACTTAACTTTTACAATTGATGCTGAGAAGAGATCACGTTTCATCTGACTAACAATTTTGTTTTGGTGTTTTTTTTCCTGAGAACTTAATTTTCTTCGCTAACTTTTCGTTGTTACAAACCTTTTTCTCATTTGAAGCCGTTACATTACTAGAGTTTACATGGTAGGTCTTATTCTCCTTGAACTTTTGCCATAGCTCCCATCTTTATTTTTTCATTTAGTTTCTCTGGTGTGAGTTCATATAACGATTCTATTGACTTTAAGATGTTTTATTTATATTTTATTTTCATACTTACCAGCAAGGAGCCCAGACATTGCATATTCCGGGCAGTCACCCCCTCCACTTGCTGAAAGTCCATCAATCCATTCGATCATTTCATTGGCGTCAGTCGTATTTCTAGCTGTCGTTAAATATTCTGTAAGAATGAATAAATCTACATCAAACAGATAAAATGAACAAAGCGTCGCTTTCGTATTAACTACTACATATCTCCTTCTGGCATTGACAACGATTTTAAAAATATATTTATACATTACAAACGTCAGTGAACAAAAGGTCTAAGTTAAAGAGATACATTGGCGTAATACTACTTTTGAACGTCATTTTTTTAAAAAAATGTTCATTTGGATTAATTATGTATTCTTGATTGAACATAACACTTTATTATCTGTTCAAATTTCAGTTGGAGTTGTAAATTAACTACATTGATTCATCACGGTGTTTCGCTACATAATCAGACAGTGGAGTATAATACCAATGATATTCCAACCTTTCCACCTCGGTATGAAAGATTCCTGTCGTTCGGTGTTCTGATTAAACGCAAATCTGTAGGCAACTATATTCTGATAGAATACAGGTTTGTAGTCAACAATATAGTGAAATAACGCAAGGACGTAGTCGACTGTATTCTACTGGAAAGGAAGGCTGTTGTAGAACATAATCTAAAAGAACCGAAGGCTGCAGTTTATTGCATTGTTCTAGAAAGTGGAACTGTTGTAGACTGTAACGGCTGTAATCTAATAAAACTGAAGGCTGCAGTCGAATCTGATGTGCCTGAACGTCCGACTACTATAGACAGTAATGCATTGGTTTTGATAGAACTGAAGAAAGCTGCTTTTGCAACCTTATCACATCAAGTCTTTAAAACATTATGTGGCCGATTGATGACGATGGATAAACATGTAATCTGAATGATATACCTGGATCACTGAATGTAGCTAGTACGTAGATGCCTGGTGCTGCGTCACTCCGCCGTGCCTCGTTGACTTTTTGAGATAACGCGAGTCGCACGGACGCTATATCATCTCCCATGGAGCCACTGACATCAACGACGAATCCAAGAGAAGTTGCCGATTTTAGTTGTAATCCAAGAAGTTTCATAATGTTTTCTTGTGTTACGTCCGTGAGTATTCCAGTTGCTTCCAAATAAATATGAAATACATGCACTTCAAATTTCTTCAACATCAAATATTTAGATAAGCTTTATTGAATTACGTTATTTAGTAACAGCTTGAAGAAAGTTAAAAAAAAGTATAGCATTGAAATTCGAGAGCACATCTTTTTTTCTTTTAAAAAAAAAAACTTTTGTATTAGTTTGATTGCGTTTTTCAAAATTTTCGAGCCTGCTCTATCCTGTCTGCATTAATTCAAAACTGAGACAAATACTAATCGGCTGTAAACATTTAAAACTTGAGAGGATACACTGTCGTTCACTGGGTTGTCAATAATCGCTATCGTACCCGAATTCAAAAAGAAATGTGCCGTCGCTTGGATAGCAGCTTCTGAAGCGTCGTAGTGAAGATGTGCATGCGGGGAAAGTGCCCATTCTGTTGTTTCTTTGTTAATTCCCCCAGTCGGCGGAATATCAGCTCCAGCATCTGTGACGCCGCCATGACTGCATTTGCCTGTAGTGTCAGAGTTATCAGATACAATATATGCAAAAATTAGAACTAGATTCCTGAAGGGTCTGAAATAACCCAGGCAATTGATGTCTTGCCATTATTTTTTTATTAAAAGAGAACGCAGCCGTGAATTTTAATTTAAGCGTCAAATACTATATTGAATATTTTGAATATGTACGCAAGAGTTTTCAATTCGTATGAATTTGCATGATACAAGTCGTAGAATACTTTATTTTTCGTGCCCTAGCGTGCACGTACTAAGACATCGAGATTACTTGTTTTTACTATGAGCAGGAATTACATTTCTGAATGTGTTCGAGTCATGTTTAAATCATTATCTGCTGAGCATGAACACCAAGCAAAGACTACAATAAGGTAAAGGTTATGTTTTTGACTGTTTGCCTGATTGATAGATTTGTGAACAAGCACAAATCGGTCCAGTAGGAAAGTGTGAGCCACACCAGTGTATCTTCACTCCACCGTAAACAAATGCTTTAACCGACTGAACCCCCTCCCTCGTTCACGATACATTCTATATCATATCGTAAAAGAAAGAAAGGTTATATACCGTCTAAAAAGACAAACCAAACCTATAAAATTGTCTGTCCTCTTCATTACCTTGTCGATAAGAGCTAATTATCATGTTTTCAGTGTAAACGGATCAACTCGTGGTGCAGGTTGTGAGATTTCAGTATGATGACTCTATTAACATCCTCAGTGGATGGACCACCCTTATACTGCCTCTATAAGATTATTCATCTCACATATATGGCAATATACGAGGTAAGAAAAGAAACAATGACGTGTATCATCACAGACAATTTCTTTCTCTTCCCTATATAGAGATTGCATACCGTACAAAAATGAACAGACATAAGAAATCAATTCATGTCACTAATATAAGATAAAGTTAAATGAATATACGAACAATTATTTCTAATACTAATAAGTATATATAAATTTTCTAATATCAGCAGCAATGCCAACTTAGTAACCGACGGTCATTTTACACAATGTCAAACAGCTTCAAAGAACATAGGATCTACACGGAGTGCAACTCCAATATACCGTTTTTCAATTTATTATCTTCTACGTTCTTTCCTGGTCTACTACCTAGGCGAAACAAGGTGCCCAATATGCCCAGGAAGTTGGTCCCTTCTGCTGAATGAAACAGAACACTGTATAGGAAAATGTTTCGTAGTGATGATAGTAGTTTTACGACACAATTTACAAATCACAGAATCTGTCCGATAGAAGAGCTTTACCAGCTCTATATAATTGGTCGATTTTGTGTATCGATACTATTCCCCACTAATGAGCTATTCAAAGTTACCTGAGGGTTTAGTAGAGATAAGCTGTCCAGATCTGTATCCACTGGTTAGGTGATCATCAACTAGCAAATTATCATTACAAGATCCCATTCTTAACCTGAAATGTAATGGTCAGCCGGTTACAACAAATATCACGAATAAGTAGGTATTGAAAAGCGTTAACGATAATATATAGGTTGTACAAAAGACACGCGCGTGAATGTATTAAATAGATAAAGGTACAGTAGAGTCAAACAATGAATTAAACTGCACCATACAGCTGTTTCCTCTTTCAATGATTCATCAGTGATGCTAAGGGCCTACATTTTACAACATTTTTGAAGCCTAGGTGGTCGAGAGAATAGCCAAAATGTAGACGGGGAGATGGACTAACCTTATAAATAATTTAATGTAATTTTGATATAACAACTACTTTTAGAACAACGTAACGTCAAGAACAAATGTTTATGGTATACAAAGAAAACTATTCATTAACTGGACGTTATTACTTATAGTCTATATTGTAACAAGTGACTTACCCAGGGTTTCAAGAAACATTTACTAGGTCATCTTACAGTTATATCGGCGTTAATTACTCACAGCAAATAAAATACCTTATTGTTTATATTTACATTACCAACACTTCAGGGAAGACGATGGCAAATCTAAATGTTTATGCAACAGAGCTTTAAGGTTGTATTTTTGTCGAAATAAGCGTATTTCATCTACTGAAAAATCACAGGAAAACCGTATTTCATATTTACATTATCAACAACTTTAATTAATTATATACATAAATAAGGTAGAAATGTTAATGATATAACTATACATTCATATTTAATAAGTTTTTACTGCCCTGGGTATTAGCGAAACGGAACGAGGACGGAATATAGATTAGATGAGGTGTTAAGTTAAGCGATGTTATATGACCAAAACTAACGGCTATGTCGTACATGTATGGTACATGTTAAAGTTAAGAAGCTGTGTTGCATTTGCTTAAAATAATTTCGTTATACAATGAAAAATAAACGAGATGTCACGTTTCTACATGAGAACAAGGTAACAAGAGAAGCCACAGTACTTTGTCAGTTACGATAACATATCTTATATGGATATACTTTCTTCGACATCAGGGGGATTGCCTTCAACAAATAGGTACACAATGTAAAATTGACATATTCTATTGTATAAACCTCGTAAATATAACAGTGGAATTTGCTGAAATCAGAAAATAAAGAAACAATATTTTCACACGTTGACAAACTAACTTACGCCGCATAGCTGTTATCACAAGACTTGCATGTTTCTTTATGTGACGAGGCTATCGGCATTAATGTCAGGGCTGCGGGTGAGCCTAGAACAAAGGAAAGCATGATATAAACATAGCAAATTGTAGCAATTTCATTTACGACATTATACTATTTGTTTTTTTCAAATTCTTTGGACAAATGCTGATATTCCTCCGCCACCTCATAGATTTCATGATTAGGCAATTCTATATCATATCTATACTATTTAGTTAACAAAAAACTTACCGAAATTTGTATATGGTACCGCGCCATTCATCTCGACCCAGTTGGTGTTGCTGTAGAAAGACTGTATTATCATCAAACATTTTCCTACCCTGTCTACCAATGTTGTCATTGCTGTATCGGTGAGTGTCTCCGATGACAAGATCGTTGATATTTCCATCCATGTCGACAGGACTATGTTGTGTGCTTAGCAAACGAAAAAGTTTTTGAATTACACATGTAGGCTTGATATTATTAAACTAATGATATTAAATAATACGTAATGGTATTAATGTTATTGTTGGGCAAATTCCTGATCTGTATTTTGTTAGAACATGACAGAATATTTTGTATTAAGATATTCGCTTTGATATAATTGTGTTCGCTAATCACTGTTATCTTGTTTCCGATTACTCTGTCCAAGTATCACCTCCTGGTAATGATTAAGACAAGACAAAATAATAGCATGACGGAATTTAACCTTTTGTCTTTATTGTTGTCAATGAATTATGAATTGACCGGTGCTAAAATAATTTACTTTCAAATCATGAACATGTCAATATTCCAACAGATAAATGAATTTAATTACAGCGATATTGTAAAATATAGTATTAGCCACTGACCTTCCAAGATTCGTTCGGCATTTACTGTGTAATCTGGATCATTTTCATAAATCCTGAACACATCGGATACGGCTCTAGCCACTTGCTCGGCTTTTGCCTTGTACCTTTCGTAACTGTCTACGTCTGGTGAATATGATCAAAAAAACAAGAAAATACTAAAACGTCAACTTAATCATAATTCAAATTCCATAAAACAAGGGCAAAATATCAACAAAAGAAAAGATTAACAACGGGATTCATGGAAAAGTAAAAGGAGAATAAGACCAGGTGTTTGGAAAAAAACTAAAACTATGAATAACGCATATACACATTATAACACTGTGATGTTCAAAACTTTGTTAAAAGTTAACAGGTGATTAGTGAAAATGATAGAATGAAATATAAAATAAGCTGGTACATTACTGTTTAACAGATATAGATTTGTTGAACCAGATCCTACTGGTAATTCTGGAGTGTCAAATTTGTTTGAAAGTTCTTATTTTCTTAATAACACTTCGAGTTTTACACTCTCCGCCGGATAACACTAACAACACATCAGGATTTGATCTGCCGACTTTCCGAATGATCAGCTTGTAGTAGTGTTAAACTGTACTGATAATGAATGTATGATATAAAATAAGCCTTTGAAAAGCAGTATTCCATGAAACGAAGGTGTACAGAGGTAAATGATATCTTTAAAATGTTTATCAGTGTAAAGCAACAAATTGAAACAAATAAATAAATAAATAAAACCCTTATTATAACAACTATTTCCGCCCGGCTGGACCTGAACCGTAACGGTGGTACCCCCAACATTCTAGTTCTGTTATTCCATACCTTGTCGTGCGTTTTTAATATATCACGTAGTAAAACTCAGATCTGATCAGGAAGTTAAGATTTTGATATCTAATGATTTCACTAGTATGACAAAATATCTCTTATATTCATCACTTGTGATTGCTTTCGTGACACAATAGGTGTTCTGTCGCACCAGTGAAATATAGAAATTACAGAAAACATTTAAATATCCTCAGTCAATTTGTAAGACAGCTCTACTGTAAATGGAAATAAATGTAATAAAATACAGTGTATACGATTATACAAGGGTTTTCGTACCACCTTTCTCGTTTAAATGTAATATTGGAAAGAACATTGCTGAATGCATTCATACTCATATGTGTATCTATAACACATGTGAAGTCTCTGCACACTTGTAATTATATTACACTGATCAGAAACTACGGTTATTTAAAGGACTTCCAACTTGGATTTGCATAATGCAAGCATAATTTTATTTGCAAATTCGATTGTTGAAGTAGTTCATATGTAATATAAGATCCTGCCCTAAAATTATTATCCGAATCTTGAAGGCAATTTTCATTGTAACCGATAAGTAGGTATTATTCTGCTTCCTGCTTGTTGGTGTGTATCTTATTTTGCTTGTTATAAGATCGCTTGCAAATAACGACGACACTACAAAACATCATGAAACAAGGTAATACTTCATGAAGCTAACAAAATGTAACCAAATAAACCATAATAAGCAAGGGTGAATAAATTATGGATATATTAAAAATAAAGTCCACAATCGTTGTATTATATGACATTTTAAAATGAGATTAGTGTTTCATGTTATGTGCATATGGCGAGGTCCACTTTTCGATTACCAAGTTAAATTTCTTTCAAATTCAAATAAAATACACAATTACGGATTCAAGTCGTGTGATATTTGAGTTTCAATGACATTGTTCAGGATAACACACACACCATTAAAACAAACACAGGCTACAGATATATTTGTCATTTACGTATTCATGGTAAAGGTGAGATTTTCTATTCTGATAAAATGGAACGTACCAAAGAAGAGATCCGAAAGATTACAATTCAAATGATTGCGTAAATACACACAGGCGAATGGAATCTTCTGATTAGGGTTAAAATTGTTATCATTTTGTTGATAAACACCGAATCATCCGCCCGAAAACCGCATTTTAGAGAACGTATATAGAGAAATATTGTTTAGAGAAGCAAGTAGTTTTATCATAATCGCCATAAAAGCAAATAATGTTAAAATCAAAATGTGTACTTTACACAAAATATAACAAATAAGGCACAAGACACAATTTATGATAAATTTTCATAAAACATAGTAAACGTTGTGGGAAATTGTACACAAGTGAAAAGTGTCCTTTAATAAAAATAGAATTTCAACTAACTGATGAATGAAATTGCATCGTACACCTGTTTCTCCCTTCTCGGACTCCTCAGTGATGACAGGGATACAATTTTGTTAAACTTTAGCGGCAACATAATACCATATAAAGTTATCGATAGAAATGTCATAATTTGGACGGTGAGGTGTAATAACCGAATTAAGCTATCAATTTCGTAATTTTCATTATCCTAAAATAAAGTTTTTCCTATTGTTTCGGTATCGATTCATAATTTATACTAAAAATCTTGGGCCTACGCCTCCTTTAGAACTACATTTACATTCATTATATCAAAACAACTGAATAAACTACACAGTATTACAGTGTTACTTGTCAATGATGCTAAGACTGACAAAATCACCTAGCAAACAATAGAAATGTGACCATGACAACGTTTTTGCAAAATATAGCAGCGGCGACCTTTACTTTGACTCGAGAACACTGCAATTACTTGTAAATCATCTATAATATTATAGGTCTTTGTATGAATTTGAACGTTGATAGAAATTTCACCAGGATAGGTGCAGATTGTTGTTATATACTTGTAAGATCAGATAACCCAACCCCTTACCATCATTGACGAATCCGAGATGGACGAAACCGCTTTATGATGCTGTTTATACAATTTGTTTGGCTCCATTTATCTAATTTGAATTTGCATTGGAAAGGTTTTGTGTTCTTTAGTACGATAAAACTTGTAAAAATCTAAATGTAAAAAAAAACTAACCCCCCCCCCCACTGTTTGTCTCATAAGAAGACTTAAATATACATGAAACAATGTACAAAATCTGCTCACCCGATCCAAAATGTTGTTTAATGACGTAATCATATTCAGATGTCACCTGGCCACTAGACGAGAGAAAGTTCGCCGCTACTCTGTCCAGCCCTTCCAGCGTTATCAGTTGGTGAGTGTACATTAAATTGTCGTTAAGTCCAGCGTTAGGGTAAAACGCCTCCGTCCAAATTACCATCGCTAAGCACAGCAGCAATATATACATTATCGATGACTCGCTAATAACTAATGTATATACTTTCTGTAATAAGTTGAAGTTATTCTTCGAGATTACTTCGAACAAAATACGGTTAAAATTGATTTCATTGAAGAGAATACCCGACGTATATTGTGTAATGTGTCAGGCTTATTCAAATGTGATTTCGTCCTACCTCCTTTCAATACGTAGTTCATCAACTCCTTTGGCTGACACATAAGATAAATATAGAGCCAATACGGAAGTTAAAATATGATTGGTCAACTAGATCCACAAAGAAGTATACAAAAGCCATTAATTAAGGTATGTTTTGTAATCCAATATATTGAAACGAAATCAGGAAGACAAATTAAAGGTGTAACAAACAGATATTACTCGTTGGTGTTATTAACAACACCCTTGGCGATGATCTAGGTTGATCCAAATGATAAAACGTTAATTATAATAAATCACTACTTATACCAATCTATATCGAACCAATTACATGTATCTCGAGGGACTTAAATATATATATAGACTTTTTGTGATTTGACTAATTTTACTCTTAGTGTTATTTATTCATTCAAATAAGCAGCGATTTATTTTAGAAACGCACTGTATATCACTGTTTCGTTGACATGTCCGTTTCACATCATCGTCAACAGTTAAATAAAAAAATACAATTAAGTTACTGCCCTTTTTTCAGCATTTGAATCGTAATATTTAGTAGATATTATCTTGATAGGATTTTAATATAAGTTTAGAAATAATCCTGTATCGTTGGCGCATACAAACTCATACCGGCGGGCATTAACACTTTGGTGTTTGTCGAAAAGTTCACTTTTTCCAATATAGACTATTTTCTTGATCCTCCAAAATGTAATCAGGGGGTTTTAAACTTTTAATATTACAGGAAGAATGATCTTGATAATTCACTGAGCTGATGATTGTGTTCTAAGTTCCAAGGTATCAGCGAAGGTCTACGCAACCTCGAGTAAATAACGTTTCTCCAGAGAAATAGACCAGGTCTGTGCTTTCTTGGATGTATGATTGACCTGGACACTTTTCACCAATTGCTGTGCATGCGAGGGCCTTCCTTATGTTGTTCAGTGAGGTGAACATCGTTAATTAGCCAACAAAAGAACGCTTTAAACGTTAGTATTAAGGGGAACAATACCAGCACACCAAAAAATATCAATGAGCTGGTTGGGCAAATATCTGATCAAGTCAACACAAAAATATGTCTTTTAACTATTTCAAACTTTAAAAACTGAAAGCTTATTAATAAGACCAAAGATAGAAAAAAATGACAAAGCATCATTTCGAATTACGTTCGTAGATGTTGGTAACAGATTGAAAGTAAATATATACGATAATTTTATTAATCTTTCAAAAGACATAGAACCATGAAATCAGTACATAGATAATGGTAACAATGGTTGGTACCTGTAAGAAACAAATAAATAGCCATCCATATATAACACAGAACAAAAGTCAGCCGTGATCGTCTTTAACATTAAGATTCCTATCGTTTTAAACACAAATCTTCCACACCTATCAACCGTGCGTGTCTGCTGTGACAATGATCTACTTAAGATCCCCTATAAGATACACATTGAATCATTGATATACAATAGATCAGTAGGATTATATGTGACCAGTGACCTAACAAAGACCCGTATCAGATTTCACGTGGCGTTAAAATATCCGACCAAGAGAATAAATCTTAAAAGCTTAGAGTCAGTAGTAAAACGTTCAAATTTCGACCCCTAATACACACTGGTTTAGGAAAACTAGATTTACCATTTTTCATCTTTCCTCATCATATATCTTTGGAATTATAGGATGTTCCAGACCTTGTTTGATCTATATTTGATTTGTAACTAATCATTGTCTGCTATATCAAGACTTTGACGAATTGGGACCCGATTGAAGAAGCCTAGTTAGGTTAATAAAGAAATTGCCGTCAAATTGTTTTTCTTTGGCAAACACTGACAACTATATGAAACTCACAAATCGCTATTGATTATCCAGTAGTTTTACATAAACTTACTTTATATTTAACAGTCAATACAATAAATAAATATACGTCGTAGTCACATTTATCCGAGGTCAACAAAACAAAAGACAAATCGTGGTGTTCTCTGATTAGATATTGAAGATATCAAACATAATACTGAATATGATTCACAGATTAACAGGCATGTAATGCAAGCTTTACTTTAACCAAGAATTAACAATGAAATATCTGGATACTTCATTCACACCGCTGTAAGTGATTGTTAATTTCAACATTAAGTTATCAATTCCACAAATTCATCAGTTGTGGCAATGTACTATGGATGTGGAATATGTTGTTCATGGAGGCTGTACTTAGAGATCAGTTGTGGCTTGTTTATAATAATCAAATGTACAGACGCGATGTGAGGTACTTTGTATGAACAAAGTGATACATTTACCTAAATAACCTGATTTGGTGGATTCGTGATGTCTGATGTTGGAAATGAAGAATAATGACACGGAACGTCTCAGTCAGCCATGTGTAGAGGTGTGTTTATTACCATGTGTTGCTGTATAATGTATGTGACAGGACAACATGGCATTGAATCAGGTGGTAATACTCATGGAGAGGTGAATACAAAGGCGCTCATTATAACACCATTCGAGCAACTCCCTCGACAAGTAGGACGAGGGATACCACGGTATAAACCCAAATCTTTAACTACCGGACTATTTGATCCAGGTATTTTACCAATGGACTTTCTTTCTTCTTTCTTTTCATTTTGACAGAGCATGGTTAATTGTATTTGTTTTTAATGAAGAAATAGTATAACTCTACACAGATAAAATATTCCAGTTTTACTTTTTTATTTACAGATTTAAAATTTACAAAAGAAATTAAAATAATTGCGAATTATTCAGGGTATTAATCAGAAACAATTTTGTTGTAGACAATCATATCCGTATTAAACGCGATTTAACAAGATTTCAATCATTAGCTGATTATACGGGCTGGAGAGCGTACCAGAGGGGTTCCATGGATCTATCCGTGTTGATGGAGGAAATTTTGGTAATAATATATTTGTATCAATTACATCAACAACAGTCAATCATTTTAAATTCATTATAATGCCTTACTTAATACAGATATTGCTGCCATATGATAATATACGCTTAATGATTTGTATAAACATACCAACAAGAGTTTTACAAAACTCAAAGGAAAAATGAAATAAAAGAACAGATTCAATTCAGATGCTGACTACAATACTAACATCTCTTACCACAGACATCTGACAAGACTTATTCTGCAGTACCTTCATCTCTTACCACAGACTTTTGACAAGACATATTCTACAATACTTACACCTCTTACCATAGACTTTTGACACCATAAACTTTTGAGTTATGTTTTACACTATATCTTTTTGGGACTGTTTTCATTTTCACGTAAATTCTGAAAACAAATTATTTGTCTACAATGTACTTTCTTGCACAACTCTTAAGGATGAAGGTTTTATCAATGGTGACAATTAAACTTAATTCTAATTACATTTAATTTCACGAGTTTATAGAACGTCTAGATTTTTGAATTTATCAAAATTGCAATCAATTTTACTAATAAAATAACATGTGGTTCATTTAAATTAGTAATATTCAAACATTTCTGTGTACGTATAATACAAAAAAATGTTAGGCTGCTCAATTTGTACACAATCTCATTTAAAATCAAAAATTGACTTTCTTTAACTTTTTGAACTATTAATCTCCTCCATCTGATCGTGAACATTAAAATCAATCGCTTTGGCTTCTGTTAGGCTCCCAACATCACTAAGGAGTCAGAGGCGTAAACATTATCTGTATGATACAAAACAATACATGATATGGCTCTACTTTATATAAAAAAAAACAAGAAAATACCAACATGACAATAAAATCCTAATCCAAACTCAATGTCAGTAAAACTAGATATACAGTAAAAACACGAAGATTCCATGAAAAGGATACTGAGAATAAGGTCATGTAAATCCGAATTTGAATCGTTATTCACATGTGTGTGTTTTATACAATACATGTTGTGGCCAGTAGGGTAGTGCAGTTGTGACGCACTCACCTTTCACCTAGCCGTTTGATTCCCGTGACGGACGTGAAAAGGTAAGGGGTCATCTGCTCGACCACGTGTGTTGTCTTCGGTTACACCGGTTTTCTCGTATAATACGACCCCTAGCAGCCTACATCCGGGTCCAAAAGAGTGATTAGTATAAGGTGAAATAATTTTTTTCAGCAATTGTTGTAAAATGAATTAGATTATTATATTATAATGAATGTATACCTGACCTTGTAGATCGTCGAGTCATCACAGTCGATATTATATCAGTACACAAGGACAACAGCTGGAGGTAAAGCTATGGATATTATTGTCGATGACGAAATGGCCTCTCTTAACATCGTTATTACAGGTCCAACTGATGAAACAGATGCCACCCTAACACAGCCAGGCGGTACGTATCATGTTTGTGGGTTTGCATGCCTGTATATAATAGTGTAATTGGTCTGCCTTTTGGAAACAGAATCTTTCAAACAAGGTTTGTAAGTAAGTTGACGTATTATTGTTAATGTTAATAATTTAATGATTTCCCGTTTTTTCCCCGAGTTCCTGATAGCAACGTGCTCGAGAACTAGTTACATGTATATTTTGTAATTCAGTAATCTGATAAAAACAGCATATTAAATTTTCATATACATTTCTTCAAACTAATTTGACAATTACTGATGGTTTTAACCTGTTATCTGATCTTAAAAAATATCAAATAGGAGATGACTCTAAACATTAAAAAAGAGCATTTATTTGTTGCTGTAGAAATAATAAGCTGATAGAAAAATATTAGCGCGTGCATGTTAGCTGCTTCTGTGGAGAACACTGGTTCTCTATCGATGTTTGACCTTCATTTATTTACTCCTGTGGAGAACACTGGTTCTGTAACGACGTTTGACCTTCATGTTAGTTATTCCTGTGGAGAACATTGGTT